AAAATCTCTCTGAAAAATTGGGACTTTTTGCCTGTCTCCGGTCTTTTAGCCCTCTTTCAACCACCATAACTGCATAAAGATTGTCACTCTGCGAGCCTGGGTGACGGGGTTCCATACCATAGCGAGCGAAGGGCTCACGCTCGGGTGTAGGCAGCTGACGGGCCCTCCTTTCCTAAGCACACCCGCTGGGGTCTTCCCCAAGTTCACTCCTCCCAACAGCACAAGGCCCCAGGGGCTGTTCTCTGTCTCCAGTTAGGCGTCCAAAGAAGTTGTAAGCCTACTCTTCCTTCTCATTCTTGCCCTGGGAATACATAAAAGACATTTATTGTCTTGAGTATTTTCCACCAGCCTCAGCACATTCTGACCGCTGGACTTCCTGACACTCCTCTTCAGGGGTCAGGCCACTCCTGAATCTGCCTTCAGCGACACGCAGCCCCTTTCCACGTACGGAGCGTGGCCTTCCACCATCTGCGCTCACTGAACAGCAGCTCATGTAGCCACACAGATGGCTCAGTTCTCCCCGAGTCCCACTACCTTCCTCCTTGGGGCACCATTCAGGGCTGTACTGTCAGCATTTCCTTTTTAGAGAGCAATCCTATCCCTCCTGCTAACTTCCCTTTTAGAGTCTGTGGCCATGGGGTTAAAAACTGCTTGCTTTTGAAAAACAATTTCTAAATTCTGTGGCAAATGCCTGTTCTTGCCCAGCCTTCACTCTGGCTTCCCAAATGCTAAGATGGGGTTCCTTCCTCTATGAAGGATCTGATCGCCTCTCTTTTACCAATTCTCCCTTCGCTGGTGCAAACCGGCGCCAGCCTGAAAGCGCCCCTCCTTACAACCTCTGTCTTCAGAAACACAGAACTACCGACAGGCGAGGCAAGAATTCATAGGTATTCTGATACTGTGGAGGGATCCCCAATTCTGAGGTATCTTGTCTCAAAACTGGCAGAGAGAGCCACTGAATCCACTTGGCTGAGGGCTAGACAGTGTTCCACACTATATATATATATTCCCATTTCTCCTCATTTTTCACCCACAATGTTCTCAGTCAAGCTTCCCACCTTACACGTACGTTTCTCTAAGCAGGGTTTGTTTGTTTTTTTCCGTTAAGACTTATTCTCCTACCCTGCCTATCAGGTGTTTACTGCCTTCACCCACGAGCAACTTCTCAGTCAGGCCCAAGACCTCAGCAGTGCCTGGCCCCTGGGTGTCTAGCCTCCTTCCCCAGCAGGGAGGCTGCAAACTCCTCCCTCCTTTTGCCTGGCTCCATGGTTCTTCTGTGAGCAAGCTACAAGATGTCTTGAGATAAACATTTAATTTGTATTATATATCTCTACAATTACAACTCAGAGACTAATACACAATTGTTTATGCATGAAGATACCACGCTGTCTCCGTGTCTTTCACCCATTGCCATCACTCAGAGTTGGGGTTCACTCCCAGGCATCTTCTCTAGGTGTTCTAAGAATGTTGTGTCACTGTCTATTGATTACCTACTATGTGCCAAACATTATGCATATTTTAATCTCCATTAATCCTCACAACAACCCCGCAGAGAAGGGTCACTCCATCTGACAAATGAGAAATGGATGCTCCATCTGACAAATGAGAAACTGGGTGGCTCAGTCAGTTAAGTGTTGACTCTTGATCTCAACTCAGATCTTGATCTCAGAGTTTTGAGTTCAAGCCCTGCATTGGGCTCCATGCTGGGCATGGAGCCTACTTTAAAAAAAAAAAAAAAAAAAAGGAGAGAACGAGAGAAAGAGAAACCAATGCTCAAGACAGTAAGCAGTACAGTACTTGCTTTGGGGTCTGAGGCCTACTTTGTCTCCACACCCACCAAACCCTACTTTTCTAATTAGGCATCTTCGTTATGCTACAAGTCACCACTCAGGTAAAAAGAATGTGAAGACTAACAGCTTCAGACATCAACCTAAGATCTAAATCCTTCCTGCCATTAGGAAGGAAGACCACAGTCCAGGAATGAACCACGTCAAGGTGGATGGCCTCACTTTCAGTCCCAGAGAGGCAGTCACCTGGCTCTGGTGGGAGGGCCCGTCCCTGGGAGCTATTGCTAGTCTTAAAACGCTGAACTTCTTCTCTGAGTGAAGGGGCTCCATGGCACCTCCCCCTCCACACACACACACACACACACACACACACACACACAGCAAAAAAGAGTGAGGAGGAGGGAAGAAAGATGGGAAACCCAAGATAACATTTCCCCCTTACAGAATGATACAAGGCAGCTGTCAGCAGACAGCTCAAAGGAGGCAGGGGGAGGTGGAGATGGGTAGAAGGAAAAGGTGCCTAGAAAAAGAAATGCCAGGGAGCAGGGATACAAGGAGATGGACTGGTTCTCAAGAGACTCCTGGATACTGTGTCTTGCCCCACCTGAAGAATCAGGGCCCAGCTCCAGAGTTCTATTCCTGAGCCAAACCCAAAAACCACCCTCAGATGCCAGTAACATGTCTCCCCCTTTCCCAACCTCCCCAATCCCAGGACACATTCCTTCTGCTACAAGGCTGCTCAGATCTAATGTGTAAGGTCCCAGCAGTGCCCCTGGGGCTGGTAAATGCTGGGCTGGCTCTCGGGCTCCATCACTCAAGCAGAGCCTCTCAGGGCATTTCTCAGCTCCGTGACGGCACGAGAGATGTGTTCATTAAATGCAGCATGGCCTGGACAGTGGTTCCCATGCTTTCAGCTTTCACAAACCAATAAAAAAAAAAAGCCATAGATCTGGAGCTAGTAGTTACCATCTTGTATTTTACCAAGTAAAGACTTTAAAAAAAAAAAAAAAAAGATCTATTTTCTCCCAGCACCTTCATTTCGTAAAAGAAAGCACCTTTTGAACATCAAATAGAAAGGAGCTATCCTTAAAACAGGTCAAAAAAAGTTAGCTCACTCCATTGTCCCCTTTCCATTGTTTCTCTAGAAACTGGGAGAACTCTGTTGTGGGCCAGCTTTGGTCTACACGCCAGTATGCAGACCTTCTGTCCTGGGACACCTCGGGCCACCAGCCATAGACCCTGGGGGCCTAGAGGGACAGCTGGCCATGGCGACGTCCCCAGGGACACAGATCTCTCAGCAGGGCTGTCTCTAAGCCTCAGCCAAGCCAGATCCCTGTATCTTACCCATGATCACCGAGCAACCCAGGCCGGCAGCTTATGCCCAAGGATGACAGGACCCTGGCCTCACTCTCTGCCCCTTTCATTCAGGTATGCTGCACTGGTGCCACTCTAAGAAAAGCTCAAACACGGCTCACCAGGGCCGCCGGTTCCAGGAACATTCAGCTTAGAAAGATCAACCCCCCTACTCCTCGGTTTTGATCACGGGAGAAGTGGAGTGAAACATAAGGGGTGGGAGGCGGCGGGAGGGGGGGTGCTGGTGAACGCCTGAAGGAAGCAAGCAATGGAACCAAGCTTTAAAAGTAGACTGAGCAGGTCTTCCTTACACCAAAACACCAATCTCATGCCCAGGAGTGAAGCCTACCCCTGCTCTTCTCCCTGCTTTCAGAAATGACCCACAGGGCCCTGGGCCAGCAGGATGCCAACTCCCCACAACACCAGCCACATACAGGGGCTGGACACTGTCTCCCAGGCAGGGGTGGGGAGCTGCCTGCTTTAACCAGAGACCGGGGAAATAGAGCACAGTCTGTGGTCCTGGGCCGTGACATGCCGCTTCCACAGGGAGTGGACAAGAGAAGGTGAAAAGGAGCAAAAAACGTCCCAGCAACACCCACTTCCCTGCCCCCAACACTTGGAGCTTTCTTCCCAGCCACGGGACCACAGCCCCACCAAGCTCACGGCACAGCTGGCCGCTCAGCGGTCAGAGAAATCCCGAGCGCCAGCCGCCAGCCCATGGAAGCCACAGGTGCCCTAGCCCTCAGAAGCACAGTGGCTCCCAGCCCAGCTGGAAAGGGCTTCAAAGGCCATCAAGCACAACCCCTCCATTTCCCCGGGGAGAAGACAGGCCCGGAGAGGGGGCCCGAAGCGTCTGAGCCCTTGGACAAATCAGTGACAGAGCGGAGGAGCCCCGCAGACCACGCAGGCCGCTGGCTCTGTCCAGCGCCAGTTCCGCTGCCTGCAGCGACCTCAGCTGCTACACGCTCCTCCCGAGCTGCTCAGCTTCGCTCGTCCCTACTTCTGCCAACTCTCCGCTATCCAGGCTGCCACCAACCTCGTGCTGGCAGCCCGCCACCAGAATAGAAGGGAAAGATGGCCAGTGCAGGGTCACTACCTCTCCACTTCCCCCTTTCATCTCATCCCCGCTCCTCCTTTCCTGCCTCCATCCCCCTATTCCAAATAAAGGGAGTACTCTTTCCTGGGCTTGACAGTGTCTCGAAAGCACATCATTCATTCGTTCATCCATTCAGCTAGTCTCTGAGTGCCAACTACATGTCAAGGAACTGAGCCAGGTCCTGAGAATACGAGAGATAAAGAAAAGCCTTTGACCTCCAGAAGTACCTCAGTCCAGTAGGGGAACCCAAATCGTGGGTTGTCATCAAACTCCCAGTTCCAACTGGCGCTCCTGCTGTCTTTCTGAGAAGAATGATGGTGCCCAAGGAAAGGCTTAGGAAAAGACACATCCCATTCCATCAGGGCAGCATAAAACCGCCCTGTCACCCCAAATCTTTCTTTCCAAATCCCTCAATCTCCACCCCTTACTTGACACCATCACTCCCCCACGTCACCCAAGCATTGGTGTGACCTGGAAGTACATCTGAGGCTTCACGCAGGACAAAAAACTTCTAGAAATAAGGCTGGATGCGTCAAACGCAAACATCGGAGATGAGAGTGCTAGCCGGAGAACCCTGCTACCCGGTTTCTCTCTTACCAACTGTCAGCTCGGCAGACAGCAAGCCAGCTCCGACCCATGGCCCCATTCAAAGTTAGACTGAAAAGGATGAGAATGGAACAACGGGCCCAACAGCATCTGACAAGACCCTGAGAGTACATCAGCTTCGTGGAAAGGGCAGGACGGCCAAGCAAGGGCCAGCTTACCTCCTTGAGAAGCCCCACTTTCTTCTTCAGCACCTCACACTTTCGCAGCTTGCAGATCTGGTGCGTGCGGCGGTTGGTGCAGCTGGTGCAGGCCCCACAGTTTTCCAGCCGCCGGCAGGGCTCACAGGTACCACACCGTTTTCGTTTCTTTCGCCCATCTCCACCCCCTCGGAGTTGGGGTTCGCTCCCAGCCATGGGGAGCCCAGGCCCCTGGAAACCCCCTACCATCACCTGGCCCTGAGGGAAGTCATAAAGGCCTGGCAGGTCCGGCTGGACTGCCAGGGGCACCTGAAACTGGCTCATGATGCTGCCAGAGGTAGGGGCATAGGTGCCGGAGGAGAGCCACGGTCCAGCTTCCCGCCTGCCTGTCAAGGCCCCCACCAGGTCCTTCTTTCCTAAAACAGTCGAGAGTGCACAAGGGTGAAGGCAAGTAGCTCCAGTCTCCAGGATAGGCGCCTCTTCACCTCCTCTGCAGCAGTCTGATAGGGCTCAGTTGGGGGCCACTCTCCCATCTGCTGGGGCCCAGGATCTGGGACAAGACACCAGCAGCGGTCCCCAGAGAAAGGATCATCTTGGCTGGGTGGGTTCTTCACCCTCACCCACCCTGGACCCAGGCATGAGGTGAGCAGGTGGGTCTGTGGTGGGGGCTGGGCAGGGTGAGGAGTTTCTCCTGGTACTTGTCCTCCGGGGGCAGGATGATGGAGGCAGCGCTGCCTAAAACAGAGACAGAAAGGGGAAGCGCATCACTCGAGGCTCAGGGACAACTTTCACATGTTACCTCTTCCTGCTTCTGGAAAAAGAGAAAATGGGGGAAGAGAAAGGGCTTGCTCAAACAAAGTCCTGCCCAGAACCTCTGGCAGGGGCGCACCAGCACCCGCTCCCCGCCTGCGGGAGGAGGCCTAGCGCCCGATGGGGGTGCTGAGGGAACCTGCCCGACGAATTTAAAGGGGTGATCAAGGTGAGATTTCTAAGAAAGTTGTCCTCTGCCCCACCCCCACGGGCTTGGGAGAGTTTCACCAAAATTCCCACACACACCCCTCACTGGAGGTCGCTGGGCCCTCCCCGAGGGAGCAGAGCTTTCAAAATAAAGTTTGCTGAGAGCTTCACTCGGCGGGGCTGCCCGAGCGCCCCCGACACGGAAGCGGCCTGGACGGGGGCGCGCCCGGGGTAGCCCGCGCCGGCCGCCCTGCCGCGCCCCCCCCTCCCGCCCGCCGGCCAGACTGGGGAGGGCGGCCCGCTCCGCCGAGGGGGCGCGGGGAGGGGGGGCGCGCTCCAGCTCGGGCCGGGCCGCGCGCGCGCCGCCGTTCGGGCTCCTTTGTTCTGGGGCCTCGGCCGCTCGGCTCCGGCGGCTCCGCAGCCCCCGCCCCGCCCCGCCGCCCCCGCCCGGCTCCGCTACACTGTGACCCGTAGCACCCCCGCCCCGTCCCCCGCAACAAAGTAGCGGCCCCCCCGGCCGGCCCCCGGGCCGTCCCCTCCTCCCCCCTCCCCGGGCCGGGGGCCCCCCCCACGCCTCCCCGCCGCCCCTCCCCCACCCCGGAGCCGGAAAGGCACCGACTGCACCGACCTGCCCGCCGCCTCCGGGGCGGAGCGCACAAAGGGGCAAAGTTTCCCGGCCCGCGCTGCCGCCGCCACCACCGTCGCGGCCGCCGCCGCCGCCTGGGGCGCCCGCCTCACGGAGCGCCTGGCCGGGCCGAGCTCGGCGCGCGGAGCCCCCCGCCCGGGCCGAGGAGGGGACGGCGCAGGAGGAAGGAAGAGGCAGCGGCGGCCGCGGCGGCAGCAGCAGCAGCAATGAAGGCGTCCGCGGGACTCCCCGCCCCCCGCGCGCCGCGGCACGTGCTCGCCCGGGGACTCCCCCGCCCGGGAGGGCGCGCACGTGCGGCCCCGCCGAGCCCCGCCGGCCCCGCCGGCCCCGCCGCCCCCTCCGCCCGGCCCGGGGCTGCTCGAATCGGGGGGGGTGGTTGTTCCCGCGGAGGGGGAGGGGACGGAGCGGACAGCCCGCGAGCGGGTGGCGGCAGGGCCCGGCTCAGCCGCCGCGCCTTTGCACCTGCAGTACCTCCCCGCCCCCGCGTCGGCCCTCCCAGGACCCGGCTGCCCCTTTCGGGCTAGCGGCCCCCGCCCTCCGGCGCTTCTGCAGCCCGGGCAGGCGAGGCGGGCCGCGCGGGGTGGGGCACGCGGACCTCCCAGCCTAGGCCCTTGGCCGAGCCGGCCCCGGTGTCCCCACTTCCTGCCGCTCCCTGCGGGCCCGAGCGGTCTGGGACGGCCCCGGACCCCCGGGAGCCCTGAGCTCCGGGCCTGACTGACCCCCCTCTCCCGGCTGCCGCTCGCTCATTCCGAGGCAGGACAATGGGGGACATCGCGCGTTTGCGTACCGAGTCAGCCTGGCCGGCAAGGAGGGGGTACCCGGGGACAGAGGCTGCGGGCCGGCTGCGGGGCACCCTCGCAGGGGTCACGGCCGAGCGCCGTACTCAGGCGGACCCCAGGGCCCTGCCATCGCGAGCCTCCCCCGCGCCGCGCTCGGCTCTTTCGCGTCGAAAACAAAGACTAATCCGATACCCCCGCCCTGCCTCCCGGAGGAGGGGGAACGGGCGCGTCGCGGAGGGTAACGGAGGAGGACAGCGTTCAGGAGGGGCTCAGAGAACCTCCGACGGGGCCGTGGCGCAACCAAGCCCCATTAGCGGGTGCACACACTTTGAAAAGTCACCCTGGGCTATTTTCCAGACAGAGGACAAGGAGCAAGGCACAAGAATATTTCCAAGTTGCCCAACTGCCCGTTCTCTCTGCTGCTTTTTTTTCCCCTCACCTGTTGTGCAGGCCAAATTGAAATTCCAGGTTAGATTAATTCAGCTCCACCCATCTGGCCTGACTGCCAGGCTGGTGTCCGCAGCTGCCTTCCACCTACCTGGGTTGCTGGGGAGAAGGGTGGGTCTCTAACACACACACACACACACACACACACACACACACGCGCTCGCGCGCGGGCAAGTCCTGGCAGAAACAACCTTGGGGCGGACTGGCCTGACCAGTTTGGGCGGTGCTCAGGGAGCCAGGTACCTGGCAGGCATCCCCGCCCGGCTGAAGCTAACAACTCAGCCAGAACTGGAAAAAGAGCATTCGGCCGGCTATTTAGAAGAAACAAAAAAAGTAACTGATCTCAAGTAGCGCTGTCCAGAAAGCCCTAGGCGGCAGGAGAAGCCGGGGTTCTGCCTGGAACTTCCCTCCTCGCAGGCCTTTTTTTGACAGCGTGCGCCAGTGGTCAGGTTGTCAGCTGTGGGTGGGTGGGGAACGTGGCTGCAATACTTACTTCCTACCTTGGTGTGTGAGAGGACTAAAGAGTTTCTGTTCAGGGAAGTAAGTCTAGAACTGAGAAGAGATACTTAGTGTAATTTTCAACCAAATATGAGAACAGGTTGTGGACTTGCAATTGTTGTCAATGTAATAAATGTTTAATGTTTTAAATAATTTTATTTTAATAAAAATTATATAAAAGAAAATGTAAAACATACAGAGAATTCGAAGACAAACATCACCCAAATACAACCACATTTAGCCATGTGTATATTTCCTTCTAGCCTTTTCTATTTGTAGATTAGTTCCTTTTTTTTAATAACATGGTTGTATGCACTCTACACAATTTGCTTGCCTTCTTTTCACTTACCATTATGCCATAAGCATTTCCCTATTTGTTACACAATCTCCAGATAGACAGCGTGACAATGGGGCGAAGCAGGTGGCTTAGGGACAGCAAATTCTGGGTTCCAGACCCGGCTGTGTCATTTGCTAGCAGAGTGACCTTGGACAAGGCACTCACCATCTCTGAGAGAATCCAAGTACTTGGCCTACGGCTCTCTGGACGGCGCTACTTGAAATCAGTTACTTCTTTTTTTCTTCATAGGGCTTAATAAATGAGAATAGTTACTGTCTCATCCGTAGAACAACCTTGTGAACTAGGTACTATCATGAAAGTCATTTTACAGATAAAGAAACAGATTAAGTAACTAGCCCAAGGTCACTCAGCTAGTAAATGGTAGGTTCAGAATTTGAGCCTGGCATCTTTCCTCCCGTATTCTGAGCAATTTCCTGTGCCAAAGTACTCTCCACCAGCTATCTACGAGGGGGCTGTTTCACAAAACCCCCTGGCTTAGCTAGCTAGGTGAATGCTGGTGCCATTCACCAAGACAGAGTGCGGGAGGAGAGATACCTGGAGGCATCCGTGTGGAGCTGAGGGATGCCTGGGCTGGAAACACACACGTGGGCCCCATTGCTGAGCACCGTGTAAGTGAGGCCTCAGGTGTGGAGGGGCTCACGGGTAGTGGACACGGAGCGTGAGAGGAGAAGGCAGCCAGGACAGAGCCTCAGGGAACGCCAGCTCCCGACGAACAGCAGCTGACAAGGGGCCAGCCAGAGAGACTGAGAAGGAGCCACCCGAGAGGTGGGAGAGAAACTGGGCCCAGCCCGACACCTGCCTGTGCTTTCCCAGCAGCTTCTCCCTCTGGAACCCTGCACTTGGACAGTCTCATTTGCTCATTCCCTGTGCCTAGGGAAACCCCTTTGCCCCTCACCACCAACCCCCTTCCAGCTACTCCTTCTACCAGCCAAATTCCCACTCATCCTGCAAGTCTCCGCATAAATGCCAATTCTTCCGTGAAACTTTTTCCAGCTCCTGGGATTCCAGAGCCCCACCCACCCCCACCCCTACCCCAGAAATTTGAAGCTCCCTCCCTTTGCCAGTTATCTTATCAGCATTGTAATTGTTTGCACATTTCCCTCCCAGTTACTATGAGCTCCGGGAGGGCTGGGACCTCGTCTTTCCACCTTTGTAACCCTAAACCTAGCGCTGGATCAATATGTGTTGAATGAAGAAACGAGGTCAGTAGAACCTGATTAATGACATATCCCAGTGACACGGAAGACCCACAGGCCTCCAAGGGGTTTTTTCCAGCGGGCCTTCTGGGCTCTGCAGCCTCTCGTACTGCCGGCTTACTCCTTCCTCGCACTCAGGGCGGCAGAGCCTCTCTGTCCCGCGGCCACATTAAGCTAGAGGCAGTGAGTGGTTCGCTAACCGTGGTCCCCAGACGCAGCGTCACCAGCACCTGGGAACTTGTTAGAAATGCCAGCTCTCGGGCCCCACCCTAAACCTACTCGAGCAGAAACTGGAGGTGGGGCCCAGTGCTGTGTTTTAACAAGCCCTTCAGGAGATGAACACCGAAGTTGCAGAAGCACTGGACTGGTGGAAGCCAGTGGCTGAGAAGAAGACAGTTCAGCACCCCGGCGGCGGCCGGGATCAGGCCCGAGGCGCTTAGAGGAGGGAGACCGAGAGAGGCTCCCTTTATTAAGCAGCGTGGCGGGGCCCACCCCCCAGCGACCGAAGACTGAGCCTTTTTAGGCCAGGGCTCCGATGAGGTCAGGACCTGGCTGCCGCAGCTGCCCCAAGGGTTAGAAAGGGAAATCCCGTCGCGAAGGAAAGAAGCCCCAGTGGGCTGCAGGCTCTGCAGGGTGGGCAGGGGGCGTTGCCCTGCTTGGGGATGGAGGTGGGGCTGGGAAATAATGAGGACTTCCAGCTCCACGGAGGAACTGCGGTGGCTTCAGCACCCGGCAAAAGAGCACAGGAAGTTGAGTTGGATGTGCCCGCGTGGTTCTTCTGGAAGTCACTTCGTGGAATCAGTACTGCTGCTTTTTTGCGGAACCTGCAAATGATCACATGTCCCTTACCTCTGAGATGCTTGACCCTGCTCCTTCTCTTTAGCTAATAAGCAATTTGTCCTGTTTGAAGAAGGAGCTTTGTCCTATGGAACTTTTTGCAGAAGTAAATAGACAGCCAGGTCCATGCCTGGGCTTTGTGTTCAAGATTGAAGGCATTGAGAGGTTTATTTGATTGAGGACGTGTTTCTTCTTTGATCATGCATTGGTTAAAAATGTTACCAGCTACTGTTCGCATAGAGCTTTCCCTTTGCAAAGGACTTCCACATACATTATCATTCTGTCTGCATAGTGGCTAATACACCAAGGGCAAGTGTTACTTTCCTTTTCTTTCTGTGACATAGCTTTTTCTTCTTATTATCACCATTTTACAGATAAAGGAACTGGGACTCAGAGAGGTAATTTGTCCAAGGTCGTTCACTACCAGGTGGCACAAATGGGCCTACAATCCGGGACCTCTGTGATTCTCCTATCAGGGCCAGGCCTGATACGGGGCAGAAGCTGGCCTTTTGCTCCTGGGAGAAGGGAGATTCATCAGTGGATTCCTTTTGGACATGCAGTGGTTAGTGTGATGTGTGTAGAGTATCTAGACTATGTTTTTGAGTAGCTCAGCAAATGCTTTCATGTTTTATTTCTGTGACTTCATTTTGAATTTAGGCTGAATCAAATAGACTATATAACTTGCAAGGAGAATGCGAGGCCCCCACCATAATAGGAAAAAGATGAAATAACCTGGAAATCTTCTAACCTAAGGGGGCTGGGCAGGAGGGTGGGAACTTTGATGGACTCTGAGACTCAGGCTGCTGAATACCCAACAGGGAAAAAGGCCTTGGTACCTACACCCCCAACCAAACCTTGATTTGACCGGATGTAACAGGACCTGTTAGGTTTCGCTATAATAATAATCCCCACGTCTCAGTGTTTGACATAAACGTTTATTTCTCAATCATGAAATTGGGGGTCAGTAGGAGCTCTGTTTCCCATAGCTACTCAGGGACACGGGCAACTACAACTGGACATGTTGCCTCCTCAACCCTGAAGGCAGGAAATGAGGATGGGGCAAATCAACCACTAATTTCCAAAGTGTTTGCCTGGAAGCAATTCACATCATTTCTGCTCTCATTTCACTGGCCAAAGCAAGTCACAAGGTGGCAAGGAAGCGCAGTAGGTGCAATGCTCCCATGTGCCTGGAAGGAGAAGCAAACATTTGGTTAACAGCACTAATAACACACAGGGAATAGTGTCTGCAGGGGAGGTGGATGTGGATGTCTGAGAGGTGCAATCAGTTCTGCCCATTTCATGAGTGCTTCTGCCTCCTGGGGATGTGTATCTGAGATTCCCATTCTATTGGGTTGTCACTTCTCCCACTAGAGAGGATTCAGAGACTCAGACCCGGGACAAAGAAATCTGAGCAGAGGGAAGCATGTGGAAGAGATGAGTGGCAGTGGGACAAACTCAGTAGAAACGAATGTGTGAACTGAGAAAGAATCCAGCAGAGGAAAGGACTCAGGGTATACGTGTCACCAGGGGCCTGCCTGCTAAAGGAAAATTCTAAAACAGCAGAATGATGGCAGAAGCATTTCCTGCCTTCTCGCCATTCACTCCCACTCATCCTTCCTGGCTTAACTCAGGTGACACTCCAGGAAGCCTTTGATGGTCTCTCGAGACTGAACCTGCCATCACATTGTTGTCTGTCAGGGACAGACATTGGGTCTGTCCCGTGTACTGTGCTACAGAGAGACCACATCTTGCTCAGTGCTGGCTGCGCTACGGAGGAGGTATTAGAGTCTCAGCATGAAGGCAGAGAACCCAGCGGGAAGGCTGTTGCAGGAACCCAGGTGAGAAAAAAATGGTGACCTCTATGAGGATTGTGAGGTGGGGGTGGAGAGAAGTACTGAAGAGAGATTTAGGGAGTCACGTCAACAGGGTAGAGATCAATTACATGGGGGCTTACAGAGGAGGTTTTCAGAAGAGCAAGGTCAGCCTTTCTAAAAAGAACTTGTAAAAAAAAAAAGTGGAGAGTTGGGGAGAGGAAAGCACAGAAAATATGTGTAGTATAAAAATCATGAAATTCCTGAGCTACAAATCTTAAGAATGCAGCCAGAGCGCTGCAAAGCCTTCTTAGGAAGAGTTGAGCATCCTTACAAGACAGCTTCAGCTTCAACCTGTTTGTCCCATTGCCTTGTCTCCATAGGTAGCCTGTTCCATCTCCGCTGAGCAGGAGCCTGTCCCATCTGAGACCTGAACTTGGTATCAACTCCTTTCATTCTCGAGGTTCCCCTTCCTCGTATCCCTCATGGGTGAGGGTCCAGCCCCGATTTGCAGGAACTGTGCAGTGCAGACAAACCCACCCTCAGAGCCCCTCCCAAACCCGATCATTCCACTTGGCCCTTGTGCGCCCCTCCCCCACACCTTCCCTTTCCCCAAACCCTGAGATGCTCCCTCTGGGTGCCTGGGCTCCATTTCCAGCTCCTCTGTGTACTGGTTTGTGACTGTGGGCGAGGTAATTCCCCTCTCCCAGCCTCCTCCCCATCTGTCAAAATGCTACTTATACTCCCTCCTTTGCAGAGTCCTTGGCAGGAGGTCAAAGGAGCCACGCTATGGCAATGTCCTGTCTCGGACCTTGGTGTGTCGTAGGCGCTCAGATGGTCCTCTCCTTCCATCCCGTCCCATCCCCTGCCTCCTCTTCTCCCTTCACAGAGAAAGGGTCTTACAATATTTTAACCACATGTAGCCATGACAACCAGAGTTAAAATTTATACAATAATCAGGGAGGATATTATGTATTACCTAAGAGAATGGAGGTAATGATGTGCAGGTGCCCAGGATGAGCCTTGGCACTGAGTGGGAGCCCCTCCGCAGCCTCCCCACCTGGAGACGGCAGCCCTCCAAACTCATCCTTCCCTACATATTCAAGCAGCCCTAGCGCCTGCCACCTCCACTCTGACGGTCCTGAGCTTGTCCCCTCTGTCAGCCTTCGGGTGGCGGCCCGGCTTTCAGTCCTGCTCTCCTCCTTGCCTTCATCCCGCGGGCTCCTTCCTTATAGACATGGACCCCATTGCCTTGGATTCAGACCTCCTGGGCCTGGTAGTCTCACCGGAGCCCTGGACTTGAAAAGACCAGGCGCCTGGGCCATCCTGCGGCTGCAGAAGTTTCAAACTCTTGCCGCTCCAAGGGTGGTCTGGGGTCCATAGCAGCGGCAGCACGGAGGCTTGGTTGGAGGGCAGAATCTCAGGAGGCCCCAGAGCTGCTGAATCAGTCTCTGCTGTTCTTTTTTTTTTTTAAGATTTTATTTATTTATTCGAGAGAGAGATTGAGAGAGAGAGAGCACATGAGAGGGGTTGGGGTCAGAGGGAGAAGCAGACTCCCTGCCGAGCAGGGAGCCCGATGCGGGACTCGATCCTGGGACTCCAGGATCATGACCTGAGCCGAAGACAGTCGCTTAACCGACTGAGCCACCCAGGCACCCCAGTCTCTGCTGTTCTAACGAGATTTCCAGGTGATTCCTGGGCGCCCTACAAATTGAGAAGCTCTGCTTTAGAAGTCTTCAGGGATAAATGGGCTAGAGATTAAAAGGCTGCCGCGGTTCCCCACGGAGCAGGAGAGGCATTCTTGGGAACACCTGCACTAATGCACTGAGTCATTCGAGGTCACTCTGGCATCGTTCCTGCTAAGCCAGGGAGGCG